AAAAAAAAAAAAAAAAAAAAAGAGAAAAAATAAAAAAAAAGAAAGTAGACGAGCGAGTGAAACGAGGAAAGTGATACGAATTATGCAGACGTAGACACAAAATGTCTCAGTTGTACATGTTACTCGAGTCATGATTGAAAACGAAATAAAACCACGTTTACATCGATAAAAATTAGGAAAAAAAATATATATATATATACATATATGTATCGAACGTACAAAAATTTAAGGAATAAGAAAGAGACAATAGAAAAATGGAAGAAATCGAGACGAGAAGTGTCGCGAAAGTGGTGCTGAAAATTAAGAGAATTAACGGTGGAAATGTGAATGTTTTGTAGAATTAAACCCGTATAAAGTGGAGAATGAATCGAAGCTTTCCGATATTCGACCGACAAGACGATCGTAGCTGATTTCCATCGAAAAAGAGGTGCGATACGCGAGCGAGACACGTTTACGAGCGTCTTTTCAGCGTCGAGATCGTAATGCCGATTTCGAAGTTCGACACGTCGAAAATCTGACGAGAGGTGGTGCTTTGGATCGATGAGATCGAGTCTTGAGTACGAACTGTTGCGATTTACCTTCGGCTCCGCGTTGTATATAAAGCTCGATCGCGGGGACGTCGAACGATATCGTGTAATGAGGCAATGAATCGAGATCGTTCGTGATCCGCGCGAAAACACGAGAAATCGCGAAATGGGAATGATATATGACAGAAAAGAGAAATTTCTATGGAAAAAGGAAAGAGAAAAACGAACACGTAACTCGTTTACTCGTTCGATTTAGTTGTCGATGTTAATTATTAAAAGAAATATATATATATACAATATCGTAAAAAAAAAATATATATATATAATATATACGTATAAGTGTATACATAACCCACACAATGCATTAGATACGTTAGGAATTGATTTACTAGTTAGCCAACACATAGTCGACGTGAATGGAGTTTATTTAGTTACACGCATACACGCAGATGATTTCTCCTTTTAACATTCTACTAATCGATTATTTATTATTGTACAATGGAAAGGCCAATAAAAACGAATGTTTTAAGTACGCACAAGCCTCGTTTGTTGTCGATTCGATGATCTAACGTTACACACGAACACATCGTTAGGACAGATCGACCAAAAATCGACTGGAAATATTATGAATGGTATATACACGGCATCTCGAAATTCATTCATGAATCATATGTTGCTTTAACCCAAAGGTGAATATGAATACATAATACATGAACTAAAAAAATTTAATAAACTACAGTGATCTATATACTACAAAATTATCCAAAAGTACAATATATATATGAACTTCGGAATTCTAAAGAACTATTATCAGGAAAAGAAAAAATATTCGCAACTTATATAATATAAACTATACAAAAATTAAACTTCTTCAAATATAGATAACAATGGTATCTCGAAAACCACTCCCAAACAGAATAGAACCGATAAAATCTCTTAGTCTCACAGAAATTTTAATTTCAATTAAATTCTACTCCTACAAAGGGTACGCAAACGTTAGTAACCAGAAAAATATTCTCAGATAAAATTAAATCCATTAAAATAACAGTTTCGCAAGAATTTCCCTCGGAATGACTGGAAATGAGAGGGGGAAAAAAGGAAAATGCCACATTGCTTTAACCAAATTACTTATGAAGGATACAGTTAACGGTAGTAGTCCGAGAACTATTCGTAAACAGAAATGATCCGACGAAAAATATTCGTCTGGCAATAATTCTTTTTTGGAAAGACCCTCGCGTATAGAATCTACGAGGGAAATACACGCATATTTCGGACCAAATTTAACCAAATTGCCCACAAAAGTCCATAGAGCCCGTTATATCGGAACTGCTCCCGAAGAGAAGCAAGGCGATAGAAAATATCGGATTAGCAGGAATTTACTGCGGATCGTTCGAAAATAAGAAAAATTCTCGCGTGTATGATCGCGAAGGAGATACGCATGACGGCCTAATATAGATCCGCGTATGCAAATCGAGTTGTGCACTCGCGAGGTATAATTGCCAGCGTGTTCTACGCGCCATAAATTCGGCCGCGTTTTGCTTGCGTGGACCGGAACGCGTGAATCACGCGTCGTGAAACAATTCGCCACCCCGAAAATAATATAAAACGGGAATCCCTCGATGTAGAAAGGCGAGAGGTGGATCGAAGGAGGCGAACAGAAATAGTCGGGCCCGTTCTTAATCAGCGTGAGGATCGATCGGACAATGAGTCGCGAGCCGGCTAACGAGTGATTCCGCGCTGCAACACTTGGCAGATTTATCGCGGCTAAAATAACGGGTGGAAAACTCGGCCGAAGTGTTGTTACTTTACACGAAAGACGAGTCCAGATGTACGGCTATATTTGCCAACGAAACGAAAGCAAAATGTATATACGTAGGGACTACGGTCGCGTGGAGAAACTACGGAGTAACGAAGCTTTGGCTGTCTGTAGATTTTGTGGAAATTTAGAGTTGAACTGGGGGGTTTTCTGTTGGAAATATTTCGAGTTGGTAATGGATTGATAATAGCTGATATTTCTTTCGTTGGTTATTATTTATAGTTGTTATTTATTGTTATCGGCGGTATTATTGTTAATATTTTAAGCTTGGATCGATTAACTCTGGCAAGAAATAATAATTTTCAGTTCATGCCAATAGCCTGGTTTTACGCCAGAAAATTTCGTATTCGGTGACTACTGTAAATAAATAATTTCGATATTGGTTTCATTTCACTTTCAAATTAGTTTATTTTGAATGTGAAGTAATTGTATAATATTCTGTATTAATATTGTAGCAAGTAGCTATTGATTTATGATAAAATGTAATTCTGAAACAATTATGTATTATTCGAGGTACAGGCTTGCTTTTGTAAATAGCTTTTACCAGAAACGAAAAATATTTCTAAGTCAAATATTTTTGCATTTTTTCTTGTATTAATTGTTTTATTAATATTTGATTTCTTTAATAAGAAAGGTATAAATATTTTATGTATACCATTATACTTCGCTATATGAAAAAGCCAAATAGAAAGAATCGGAGTTTTAGCATTGTCTCTTATATAGATACAAAATTACTTTCTCTTAAGCTGACTTCAAACCTTTTAAAGCTTTAAACAATTGTATCGCAAAAATTATAGAACTATATTAAAAGATTATAAAATATAAAAGTCATTGAAAACGTTACGAAACTACCAGAAACGCAATATCGGATAAGAAAAATTACAAAATCGGGTCTCAACAGGGTCCGAAAGTTGCGTATCTCTTAACACGTTTACAGAATATCGCGTTTCTGTTACTTCATTACATGTCAACGAATAACTTTCGTGCTACTGAAACCAATCTCGATATTACAAAACTTGACATAAACCGTCACAAAAATTTCAGAAATATACGATCTGCCTCTCAGACCCGATTCGATGCCAACTCTAGTGAACAGCCAAGACTCTCAGTACTCCAATAGGAACTCCTCGCCTCTATCAAGAGGTACATGAAATATCATCCTCGACCATCCATCTCCTAATCTCATCGACTCTTTCTCAACGTGAAATCGAGCAGAACGATTTCCTAATTGTAACATACTCATAAAATCCCCGGCAACTATGCGTAATACCAAACTGTCGATGAACAAACTCGAATGTCGAATCAAATTCCGACCCGGTTCGAATATTCGAAATTTCGGCCATGAAAAATCAGATCTTCGTCTGGTAGCGTTCCGTTTTCAGGGGTTCGCGTTGACGCGAAGATTTCCACGCGT